CTTAATACCAAAAAAAAAACTATCTGATAAAACTTAAGATTTGAATTCTATGGTTTTATAGGATTCAAATAAAAAAAGTTTCATTGAATTTAGCTATTTGGTTGTTGAGATATTTTTGCTCAAAACTAGAAACAAATCAAAACATCTAACAAAATAAAAGCTATACCAAATTACTTTTTAACTTTGAGTGAGGATATTCCAATTACTATTTAACTAAATTTTATAAATCTTTTTTTACTTGAATTTTATGGATTCATAGAATTCAAATAAAAAAGATTTCAATCAAATTTAGTCAAGTGCTTAAATTAAAGAAAAATTAAACTATTTATCAAAATAGAAGCTATATCAAATTTTCTTTTTAAATTTGAGTGAAGATAATTTCAATAATTATCTGACCAAATTTGATAAAACATTTTTATTTAAATTTTATAAATTTATAGAATTTAAATAAAAAATTTCATTGTATTTAATTAAGTGTTTGTCAAGATATCTTCACTCAAGAAAAATCAAAATGTATATCAAAATAAAATTTATGCTAAATTTTTTTACTAACTTGAAGTGAAGATATCTCAGTACCCACTTGACTAAATGCAATGAAATTATTTTTATTTAAATTTTTATGAATGCATAGAATTGAAAAAAAAGCTTTATTGAATTTGGACAAATCATTATTGAGATATTTTTGCTAAAAGTTAGAGAAAATCTCTATTTTGAGTGAAGATATCTTGATAACCACTTGACTAAATTTAATTATTTGAATTTTATAAATTCATAGAATTTAAATAAAAAAGATTTACCAAATTTGGTTTGATAGTATTAAAATATAAAAATATTTTGACAACTATATGGCTAAATTCAATAAAATTTATTTTATTTAAATTTTATAAATTCATAAATTTAAATCTAAAAGGTTTTATTAGATTTAGGCAAGTAGTTGGTGTTATATATTTATTTAAAGTTTTTAAAATTTTTATTTTTTATCAGGATCTGCATGTCAATTAGTATTAAAAAGAGTACTCTTATATCAAGCAAATTCTGAGTGAAGATCAGTTCTAATCATAAATTTTATAGATTAGATTCAATAAAATTACAGGATCTTGTATAACAAAACAAACACAAAAAATATAATAAAATGCAAAAAATTATAAAAAAGCAAAATTTTACTATACCAACTAATTTCCAATCATAAAAAAAGTTTTTAGTATAAAATTTTGAGAATTGCTAATCTTAACTAGTAGTAAAAATACCGGTAGTATATTTAGTAGTGCTATATCTCAAAAATATACTAAGTAAACAGTATTAAGTGCTTTAAGTAAAAATGTTTAGGGCCCATGAAAACCTTATGAGAACTAAGATCGGAACCTTATATTAGCTCTATATTATATTATATAAAAAAAAATAATTATATATAAAAAAAAAAATAATTCTTAATATCCTAACCCTAACCCTAAAAATAAATAGGGGTGGTAATTTTACTGGTAGTTAAATATAGTTATTTTCAAAAATTTTAGTTATAAAATGCATTTTTATATACTAAATATATAGAAAATTTTTGATATACTATAACATAAAATTTTTAGGCTAGAAGTGATCTTTAGCCCAAAGTTTGCTTGATATAAGAATAATCTATTAAAAAGTAGATGCAGGTGTATCAAAAATAAAATAAGCCCAAGCTACAAGCACAAAATATATAACTTGTTATCTTTTGATTTGCCTTATAATGGGAAGATCTCTAGACACAAACTACCCCAATAGTACCCAGATGTTTCTATTATCATGCAGATTTTGTATACTATACTTGGCACTTATCTAGTCAAATTTAATCAATCTTTTTTAATTCAATTATATAAACTCATAGAATTATAATGAAAAAATTAATTAAATTAGATGTCAAGTAAACTTTGTTCAAAGTTTTAATATATTAAAAAAAGCTGCAGCTAAATTTTTCTTTATATTTAGTTTAATGAATATTTCTTAACAAATAGCTATTCAGATTTAATTCAAATTTTTTATTTTAATTTTATAAACCCAAAGAATTAAAATAAAAAAAGTTCTTCAAATATGCAGTTATTGTCAAAAAATAGTTATTTAAAGTTCAAAACCAAAAAAATTTGCTCAATTTTATTAATATTGGGAGCTTTTTTTATCTTTCTGTAATGATTTTTTAAAAACTACTAAATCAAATCAAATAATCTTTTTTTTTACTATAGAATTATAATAAATATATATTTTTTGAATTTAAACATGTAGTTATTGAAAAATCATTGCTAGAAGTTTTAAAAAACTTTTGAGTTATTAATAGAATCTTTATTGTTTATTCCATTGGTATGTTTATATCAGTAATTAGTAAATGTAAAATCACATAAATAGTAAGTGTCTGGAGACTTTTCTCTCGTGATTTTTGGTCGCAAAAACTGGTCATATGACTTGTGTAATAATTTGACCAATCAAGTCACAACACTTAAATTGGATCAACTTGAACTAATTCTAGTTCACAAGAACCCAAAATGAGTTAACTTGAACTAACTTCTGGTTTAATTGAACTCAAATTTGGGCATCTTAAACCAATTTCTGGTTCAAAATTAGGTACTTGATGTTTAGTTAATTCAATTCTAGTTTACTTGAACCAGAATTTTGGATACTTAAGTGTTGTGACTTGATTGGTCAAAATCATTGTATGAGTCATATTATCTACTTTTTTGTGACCAATAAATCTTGAGATAATTGAAAAATCGTAAGTCATGTAATTTGCACTTTGTAGCTTGGTCTTGTTTTATAGCTCAGAGACTAGATGGTTCCTTGATTGTAATAATTTTTGTTTTTGAGCCTATATATATAATAATTTTTAATTTTGGCCCCCATTTATAATTATTATAAAATATGAAAAATAAACTGCTTTTTTTAATTTCAGATTAACAGAAACATCATGATTAAAGATTTATTGTTATTTCTGCTAATCTGAAATGAAAAAGTAGAGTAGGGGTGCTATGCTTATTCTCCATATTTTATGGTATTTCAAATTTGGGCCCAATATGTAATTTTTTCTAAATTATTCTTTAATTACTTTATTAATAATTGTGACTAATTATATAACTTTTTTTATTAATTAATAATATAGTCAATTACAATATTGTAACATTTTGGATCTATATATACAGTATATACTTTGTGACTAGCAAATAAAAAAATTCTTATACACAAAGCTCAAAATACTATTTAAAGAATTTCACGATTTAAACATAATCAAATTTATAATTAAAAATTGATTAATTGTTTAGTTGGAAACTAATTAATTAAAAATTTTTGCCGATTTGTATATTACAGTCAGAGAATATACTATAAATATACAGTGCTGATCACACTATTTATAGTAATAGAATGCTAATCTAATAGTTTCAGAAATTTCTTTATGTCAATTCAAGAATGATCACTAACTAATCAAATCAACTAAATAGAAAAAATTTTATTATTATACAAACTAGAATATTCCAAATTTTATTTACTTTATTTACTTTTTTAACGAGAGTTAACTAAAGAGGGATTATTGTAGATTATTTAAACTATATGTTTTCTACTATCTATTAATGCTTTTATTTAGAAGTTTTAAGCAATAAATAAAACATGTAAAAAATTTCCTAAAACTGCTAGCAAGAAGTTGTACAAAAGCTAATCAAATCTGTCAAATTATCTAGAACCAGATTTTTTAATTTGCTATTATTTGCTATATTCTCTAACTGTATTAGTTAAAATTACAAATCAAGTTTGGTTTGATTGGTTGGTTATTTTAGAATCTTAGCTACTAGCATTACTAATTTACAAAAAAAAAAACTTTTGCTAGGGATGTGTTGTTTATTAATTTGCTTTCATATTTGCATTAGCAGTACTATATAAAGAAATTACTCAAAAATTTTTATATATATTAGCTATTGCGTATGGTTTAATCTATACAATAAGTTTATTATATGAACATAGGTAATTGAGATTATAACATATATATACTTGCAAATAAGTAATTCTTGCAATTTTAGATATAAGAAAGCTATAAAGCCATGTTTTTGCTTAAACATTAAAAAATTTAATAATCTACTGTTTTTTTTCTTATAAAAAAAAAAACAAAAAATTTCTTTAGAAGAATGCACTAAGCTTTGTTTATAGAGACATGCTATATAACTTTATTTTAATTAAATATTATTATTAATAAGTTATTAACTCAATGAGACGTGGATATTAATTATAGTATCTTATTACAGTACTATATAATTTATTTTCTAAACTGATTTATAATTTACCAAATTACAAAATATTATAAAACATTATATACTGTATATTAATTACTAATGTTCTTAATTTTTAAAAATAATTAATACAACTAGAGTATGAAACTATTTTTTATGTATTAAAACTGAAATACTGGCCTTAACACATAAAAATGTTTCCAAACACTAGCTACAACTTAAATATTATTATTCTCATTGAATTGAATAAATAAGATACTATAAAACTCAAAAAATAAACACCTATAGTAATAACCACTTTCATTGTAAAATTTATGTTCCATAATATCTTATCTGCAATGAAATCACTTGCAAAATTCTGGCAATTGATAATATGCCAAAAAGCAATATTAAAAGGATAACAAGAGATACCTAGGATATTAAGAGAAAGTACATAACATAGATTATAATAACTATTTAAAGTTATGCTAATTAAATTTTAAATTTTAAAAAGTAAAAAAAATTATGTGTTGTGCAATGATCATTCTGATAACTAGATTTGTATGTCAAAATTAAACTCCTGTATTTCATATTTGATACTGGAATCTAGAATATCACTTGAAGTTATTTGATTGGTATATGTAGGAATAATAGAATTAATTTACTTAAGTTGTTCAATTGATAAACATAGGAATTTTGTTAATAGTTTTATCAAAAATAATATAATAAAAAATAATAATAAATTTCACTGATAGATAGCCTTTTATTTGGATCATTATCCCAGCAATGTCTCATCAAAGTTTCATATGTTTCTAAAATTTCTAGAATATAAGGTGCATTAGTTTCGCCAATTTTTTTAGAAACACATTCTGAAATTTGTTCATTAACGGAAGATTTTAGCCAACTTAAAATCTTTTACCAACCCGAGAATGATTATGAAATCGAAATGAAAGAAGTACTTGAAACAAATGATCTTTATTCTGAAAACATATACGATCTAGAAAATGAAGAAATAACATATTTTGATAATCCAGTTCTTACACCTTCACAAATTAAAAAATTTCAAAAAATATTTTCTCAAAATACTATTGAAGAAAATAACGAAAAACAAGAAGTTAATGAAAAATTAACTATTATCCTAGATCAGCAAGAAAAAGAAGCATTTATTCATAAACTTCGTACAACAGTTTGTTGTAAAACTAAAACATGTTTAGCCAAAATCGATCATGAATCCGCATTTAATATTTTTGATGATGTTCGAAAATTATCAAAAGTTGAATACAATATGCTTTTATTAGGAATGCTTCATGCAATGACTCGTCCTAAAGAAACTTTACGGGGTAAAGAAAAACAATACCTAACCGTTAAATATACTTTTGACGGAAAAGAAATTTGTGAAAAAGGATTTCAAATTATATATTCATTATCAAATAAAAAATGGGAAAATATTCGTCAACATTATCATATAAGTAGTATTAAACCTATTAAACATGCCCTTTCAGGAAGAAAATCTCATAATGCTTTGTTATTTGCGACTATTTTAAATGTTCTTACATTTATCGTTAATTTTGCAAACTGTTATGGATTGCCGTCACCAGGTAAAATTATTATTATTTTACTAATGATTGATTATGGGTTTTCGCTATTATTTTTTGAGTACAATGTAATTCAAAGACAATAGAGAAATAGTCTCTAGCTTCGATTAATAATATGGGAGAATAATACATTTATTTCCCAATAAGGGTGCTCCCAAGTACATAAATTATAGATCGGATCTCAATTTTTAATTAGTAAAAAAATAGTTCAGCTAGTCAAGTAAGTCTATCATCGCAATGAAAAAAGATAGTCAAGACCATCTTTTTTATCACAGAGTTGTACTGGTTGACTAAAATTTAATATCTGCATTTCGCACCATAAATCTTTAGCAAAATTGCTATAAAGATTACTTCAATTAAGTATATTGCTTTTACGATCTCGATCATTAGCAAGTTTCATTGAGAAATATGCTTGAGGCACCCTAATAACTATATATTTCCCTAGATTTTTTTGGCACTGATAAGAGCAGAAAAAATCTTCTATAAAGTTAGAATAAATAATATATATTAATAAAATTACTTTGATTAGGCCGGCATTTTCGAGAAGACACTATGGCCATTACATTTCTTCCTGCTAATGAAAGTTATTCTGGACTATACTGTACTTATCAATCAAATTTAGAGGAAGATTCTGATCACCATATTAGTCGATCATCTTTTATGCGAATTTGGAAAAAATATGTACCAGAAATTCGCTTTTTATCTCTTAGAAGTGATCTTTGCATGCTTTGTAAAAATATGCGGTTTAATACTCAATATTGGACAGAAAATGAATAAGATTATAATATTCAAGAATAGAATAATCATATTAAATGGTAAATCAAGAAAGAGAATTTTATAAGTATGATTGGCTTTTTTTTTTTTTTTTTTTTTAATCAATATAGCTGTTTTATGGAAATTAAATTTTCTAGACGATACATATTAGATACCAAACAGCAAGTAAAAAATATTATCAATTTATTGAAGCTTTTATGTCCGGTGAAACCGAATTCTTTGGAATTAGAGAACCATATCTCATGGGACTTCGCTGAAGCTGTATATCTCCCATTTTCTTCACAACAAGAAGTATAGTTATATCTTATTTTCTAATGAATTTTTTTCAATTAAATAATAATGGGTTTTTTAGAATTACTTATTTCGGAAATAAGTAAGAATTAGAGATAGAAAAAATGAATATTTTATAATAACATACGCATGATGCGTATTAATGCACGTTATATAAAATGCGCATGATATAATTTTTGATTTTATATTTTCCTTTCGAAAAATATTAAATATTTGCTCAAATTTTTGCTTCAACTCTTCTCTTTTTTATTTTTTATTTTTTATTCTATCCAGCATCATACTCTTTAGTCTAAATTTTATATACTGTATTTAATTTTCCTATATAAAATTTAGATAAAATAAAGTATACATGTTTCCGAATCATGCGCATGAATGTGCATGATTAAGGAATCATGCACATACGTGAAACCCATCTCTAAAGGCAAATCAAAAAATTAAAGAGGTATGACCAGTAATAAAATCGCTTCATTAATAAACTTTTATGTTCTAAATAAGTATATACTTTAAAAAATAGGGTTTATGTTCTAGAATTAAATATATTACTTATTTTATCTGAAATCAGATGCCGAATATTAATTCTAAAACCCTCCAATATATATCTGCAACTGTTGTATTAAGTAAATGACCATAGAAAATGATTGTTAAAAAATGCGCAGCTACCTTTATTAATAAATATTACAATATTATTATTAAAATATTTAGAGATATATTTACTTTAAGTCTTTGTATAAAGTCTCGATTTTTGGAATATGTGAAGACGCTTTTCCTCAACAGGTTTAGATTTTAATTATTAAAAATTTAATACAGTCGATTCTGATCCTGTCAAAACTGATAACCTGTCAAATCTGATAAAAAATTATTTTACCAAGTCCGTTCTCATTATATAAATCTAATAGTTTGCTAGGTTTTTAAATTTGATAACCTCTCAAGACTGATACAAAACCTGTCCATCATGCACACCGATTTTGAGAGGGTCGACTATACATGTAAATTCTAAAAATAATTTACTATTATGTTTTTGTTTAGAAAAATTATTTAATTAAAGAAAATGAAGATGTTGAAAAAGGGGCAAATGCAGTTATTTCAATGGTTCACCATTATTTTGAAAATCATGGGCTCGGAGAAAAATATGTTACAATCCATGCAGACAATTGCCCGGGTCAAAATAAAAATAATGCCATAATAAAATATTTAATATGGCGCGTTTTAAATAATTTGCATAAAAGAATTATATATTCTTTTATGGTGGTAGGACATACTAAATTTTCACCTGATAGTTTTTTTGGGTTACTGAAACTGAAACTTCGACATTCTGAAGTAGATAACTTGGCAGATTTAGTTCAGGTTGTTCAAAACTCTACCGTCGGAGGCTATAATATGGCACAAACTATTTATGACCAAAATGGTACTTGACAAGTTCAATTTTACAAGTGGGCAGAATTTTTTGATGAATTCTTCAAGAACATTCCACAAATTCTTAAGCAACATTACTTTATTATTTCGTCAGATAAACCTGGAATAGTAGAAATAAAATCAGCAATAAATGAGGAAAAAACAGAAATAACATTATTAAAAAAAA